GGCAAATGCTTACTACCATGTCGATTGTGTATTATTACAACGTTTTCTAAAAAGGGTTCCTTGGAAATGTTACCAGGGTTTCCGCGAAATTATTGGTTTTTTGAATAAATTAACTTATTTCTGCAATGTCTGGCTTTTTACGTTGTCAGGCACTGCACCGACGCGGACGATGGGATGTGAAATGTGCAATGCTTGCCAACCATTACTTCGTCTTGTTAGTAAATTAAAATAGTAGTATTTCAAAGCTTTTTTTAACCAACTTGGTAAATGAGGAGGTTCTTAAGTCTACTGAATTTTCCTCGTTGCCTCAGAACTCCATAATGTATAAAACAATTTGGTCAATTTTATTGTGTATACCTACTTCCTGTTTAGTGCCGTTCAGGAGAAAATCATCAAACACCACCCCAAAGAATCGAAAATAAAAGAATGTTAAAAAAAAAGTTCGGTAATTTATGTACATATTGTATCGTTACTTTTCACTGAGTGATGGAAGTTACCAAAGCCCTCCTCCCTACTCCTTATTCTAGGGGAGGGACTCAAAGAGCGGCTACGTTCTTTTGACTCTTGAGTTCCAGGTGTCCATGGGCGACGGTAGTCACTTACTATCAGGTAACACGTCTGCTCGTTTTTCCCCTGTAACATAAAAAAAAACAAGCTTGCTTTAGACTACACGACTGAAGTAAAACTTCTGGGCTATGAGAGAACGAGAGAAAGAAAATGTGTGCTCGCATCTCTCTCTCTTGCCCCTACAGTAATATACGAAACGAAACTTTTTTTCTATCTTCACTAACTTATATCTCCCTCTCAACTTCCGTTCGCCTCGCCCGATCACACTTTTCGTAACGCCCTCGTTACGCGTTCACCAGCTTACTCCCCAAGTCAAGCGTGCGTAAAGAAGTTTTACTTAAAAAAAAACAGCTTAATAAAATTAATCGTGATGTAGGCGCATTGAAATCAGTACCTAGTTTACTAGCTTTTGCTTACGCCTCCGCCCGTATGTTAGTTATCGCGGTAAAAAGTAGCCTCTGTCTTTCCTCAAAGAATCGAACTATCTCCATACCAAATTTTATCTAAAACAGTTATGCGGTTATTGATTCCCCATACGAACTTTCACATTCTTTTTTCATCCCCATAAAGAATAGTTTCCGAGGTAAAAACTATCCTATGTCCTTTCATGGGACTCAAAACTATCTCTATACCAAATTTAATCCAAATCGGTTCAATGGTTTAAGCGTGAAGAAGTAACACGCAGACGGACCGACCGACAGACACTCGCATTTATTATATTAGTATGGATAATCAACAGCTTTTAACAGTCGATTGCTGGACATAGATAGGCCTCTCCTTAGAAAGGAGATTTTGACCTACTATACCACGCTGTCCAGACGGGCTGGTACAGGGTTGGTTTCAAGTTTTCCTTCTCTTTGCGGTGTCGTTTTCCAGCGTAGTTTGCTCCTTTAGTCGGCTCTCACGACACCTGCGTGATAAATAACGGTGGTGAAACTCCGGTGTTCTTAATCCGTCACCACACGGACAATTTACGGACCACACGGACTTTATTAAAATGTAATTATTGTAGCTCATTTTGCATTTTTTGTTCATTATGCACATATTTAGTAAATAGCTTCTGAATATCGGTGGTACTAAAACACCATTGCATTGTTGGCAATGCTTTTAACATAAGAATTTGCCTTTTAAAAAGCAGCATATTATGTATGTATGTTACTCAAATTATTGGAGCATACAACATAAACAAAGATTAAATTTTGGTTTAAATGATAAATAAATAGTCACAGTAGTTCTAATTAAACAATACTTTAATTCTTATCATATAATTATTTAATTAAACAGTACTCAGTAGCACTTTTGAAATAATTACAATTGTTCTCTAACTGCCTCCCTTGTAGATATTACGTTGTATTAGACTTTATTAAACTGTTGTATTATCGTATGTTTAAATATTAAATAATAATAATATATTTTCACGCATTTCACACACGGCCGTTTAATCCCAAACTAGGTAGAGCTGTACTACGGTAACCAGACTGCTAATTCCCGGATCCCTCCTATTACAGGCGCAGAGTGGCACACCGTGTGGTTTTAGTTAGTCCGATTCCGACACACCACCCCGCCGGAAACCCCGGTGGGGTGACGGACCGAGGGGGTTTCCACACGTTAAAAAAAATAGTAACCAGACTGCTGATAAACGTACTTATATATTTCTAAATACATACATATTATACTCATAGATAAAGTATACCCAGACACAGAACAAATGACCGTGCTCATCATACAATTATTTATATTATTTATATAGGTATATACTATATATATATACCATACAATCCGTGTGGTGACGGATTAAGAATACAGTGTCACCACCCCTATTCATCACGTGGGTGTCGTAAGAGCCGACTAAAGAAGAAAAACTAAAAATAAACCCTATAAAAACCCGTCTGACCAGCGTGGCCAAAAACCTCCAAACCTCCTTTCTGAGTTGAGGTCTATGTCCAGCAGTGGACTATTAAAGGCTGTTGATTATGATGATGATGGTCATGACGCAGAAACAATGAGATATCAATTTGCCCGAACCTGACACACAGCTTGGGCCTCTTCGAGATTTATTAGACCATTTTTTATACATGTTTGCCGATTACGAGTATTTTTAAGGGGGCCTTTCTACAGTGTACTGCCAGAAAATATTATGTTTCATTGAGGCCTGCCCTCACAGGCTCATCTAGTTATACACTCTTTTAGTCATAATTTTAGTAATTTGCATGTTGGCAAAGATTAAATGACTAAAAAAATAAATGAAATATATTTTGTGTAAGTTACAAGAAAATTACTTTCTCGACATTCACCCTGAGCCCGCAAATATTAATTTTGCAGACACCAAGCGGCACTAACTTTGACTTTTGTGTGAAAACATACTACTGCTAACTTACCTATTGTGTGGTACAGTTTCAATGCAAATTTTTGATAACTGTCTTACTCTACAGTTATTTAAATTTGTTCCATGCAGTAATAACGGTAAGGAACTAACTATGAAGAAAATTGTTAGTGTGATTGACTCTTATTACACTTATACGGATAGGATACTTAAATAGGTACGTATTTTCACTTTAACCAATCAATCTGTTTTTTTTTCTTTTTTTTTTTAGAAAATGAAAAAGAATCAGCCTATCACAGGCCACATAGGCCTCCTAGGACAAGTCCGGATATCTTAATTAATTAAAGTCCCCGCATCCCTCCTATTGAAGGCGCTTAGTGGTACACCGTATGGTTATAGGGTAAAGCCGCGATAGATGCCGCACTTTTTGAAATGGTCTCTTAATTTAAAAAAACATTTTTTTACTATGAATAATCTTTATAAATATAGCTAGTTTAATCTTTTACATTACATTATGACTTGTTTTTGAACTAACAGTTAGTTTTTTTTCAGATTTTAACTTTTCGCAGACCAATTTATTTGAGGATAGATGCCCACCTGTATGGACAGATGCCTTAAAATGATTTAAAATGTTCAGAAGATAATTCTAATATGACACGCACAACCAGAATTAAACTTAAACATTTGTCTAACAAAAACATTAATATATGAGTTTTAACGTGAACAATCATACCTATTTTAACATTAGGGAATAATTATTTAAAATTTGCCACCACTCTTACGACATCCTCGGGTTAAATAGTGTCGTAAGAGTCGATTAAAGAAATATATCAGGCAGATAATTTCACTGGAAGAGAAGGAAAACTTTTAATCAAAATTTGTACTAACCCTAAGCCTAGACGTCTACATAGTAACGGTAGGCCGCACTCCCCGCAATGTTTTGAAGCCACTTTTACTTCATGTGAGACTTGAGTCCGTAATCCGTCTATAGTGCGTACTGACACATTCATAAACTCTATAAAATGTTAGTGAGCATTAGAATTAATGCAATTCTCATAGCCTCTTATTAAGAGCAAGTGTTAGTTGTAATATGCAAATAACACAGTAATTGTAAATGTTGTTGTTGTATATGTATGTCGAGTAAAATCAGTTTTTTCTTTATTAAACCTTAAAACAGGAGACTATTTGAGAAACCATAAAATGTTGTGGTATAAAAAATCTTGTCTGTGTGATAATTATATTTTCCTATTGCGATATTACTTTTAATTTTAGTTTTACAAGCAAATACAAGACTTAAATATAGTAACTAATCAAATTGTCAGGTTTAAATAACAATGTGTATGTGCGATACGTTAGAGTGCGACTAATCGATTTGCCGATTCGTGTTCGTACCGAAGACGCAAATCAACCCACATCTACAAAACGCTTTAGAGGAGTTAGCAAGAGTATACAACAAAAAATGCTAGTATTTTTGAATCCCTACCAATATTTTTATAACTGAAAGATGATTCGGAAAATAAATTTAAATACAAAATTATTTTTTAAGGCAATTAATTTATTAAAAGATAATTCAGAAAGTGATGTAGAGAAAGTGAGCGGCAATTTTTTCATCAGTATTTATTATCCAAGCATATTAATATAAACCTCTTTATTAAATTATTCTTGAAGAGATTTCAGAGTATCCATTTCATGACAACTTTAACTTAGCGATAATATAATCAGACGATTTCTTAATCACTTCCCGAGAGAAAGACATTCAAAATCTGTATCCTCGGCATTTTATCGCTTATATAATCATTGAACGATGCACTTAGTGTTCAAACGCAATTAACAAGTTATTTTAAAAGACTTTTGTACTTATAGTAATTTTCCTTTATATTGTTTCAGATTTTCTTCTCAGCGTGCGAAGATCGCCTGACGAAAACTAATCATAAACACAGCGGCCTTATGCTTCTAACAATGAATGTGTCACTTAGTAAATCCCACAAATTGAATAGTTAGAAAACATCGTAAAAACCAATTAGTGCTTGCAATAAAATATGTGACATAAGGCCATCTAGCGGTCGCTCAGTGAACTTCTTAGTGAGTGAAAGTGGTTTGAAATATCAAAATGAAGTTAAATTTGTTTAAGCGGTCTATGATCTTTGCTACTTTTTTCGGTTCGTGTTTGTGTATTGCTTTAATTGTTGCGTCATTGGGCACAACACATTGGATTGATGCGAGAGCGCGAAGGACTTCAAATGCCCTTGAATCCGATGGCAGGATTAGCTTCGGTTTATTTGAAGGGCAGAAGGAGCTCAACTTCGGATACGGGTTGAGGAATCGTAATTTTAGTGGTAAGTTTTTTTAACATTTTCATTTCATCATGCCTGTAAAATATCATACAATGTTGTAGGGGCTCAAGTATTAGTTTTAGGGCTTTGACTAAATGCTGGCCCATCAATGACAATCAAGTATTTTTTATTGTAATAAGACTTATTTTAATCTTACGAGAATTATTTTAAATTTAGTAATAAAGTGGTATTACATAATAAAGTATGTATTATATATACAGGGTTACAAGAAAAGTCGTGCTAGATCCGTTAAGGGCGTGGAGTACCCATCATTTCTGACATATTTCACTATGAAACACCCTACCCTAAACTTAACCCTTTTCGAGATAATCGTCTTTTAATTTTTTTATTGAAATTTGCTGATTTTTAGGCTACTACATTTATTTTTGTTTATTTTGTGTATCTTATTATTATTATTTTTGCATTTTTACATGTGTAATAAGCTGCTTTAGGACGTCAGTTATTAAAATAGTTCATAAGTTAATTGAATAGATCGTAGTAGACAAGTGAAAGTAAAGAAATAAAAAAAAATATTAGAAAATTATTTTTCTCTAACGGATATCTAAAAACAATATTATGGTAATTGTTCGGCAGATTTTTAACAGTTCTAACGGTCCCGCGCCTATTGTCCTTCAAGTTAAGACGCACCAAGCGAGCGAGACAAGTGACGATTTATGTAGGTGCGAATGAAAGAAAAAATGTGTAGAGACCGGTTAGGGCTGGGAATACAACAGGGGGCATTGTTTGGTTGTCACTAGTTGTCAGTCTGCTTTTGTGCTTCGTACATAGTAGATGTGATATCGTTTTGCTCTTTTACTCGACTTGGCTGTGATTCTGGACTATTTCTTCTGATTTGTGACTACTGTGCTTGTTAACCGGACTCTGGTTTGTACCTGTGATACGGAAGTGTTGAAGATGACGTCCTACGCACCTGAGGAATATGCTGATATGCTTATTTGTTACGGATACTGCGATTGTGTGTCTGCGCAAGCTCGCAACGAATACATAACTCGCTACCCTGGTCGTCGAGTGCCGGATGTGGCCGTTTTTGACAGAGTTTATCGAAGACTTCGAGAAACTGGCTCTGTTTTGAGACGAAATACAGACATGGGAAGACCACGAATTGACGACGAAGAACAGGACAATGAGATAGTGCAACGCTTTCGAGCGGATCCGACTACTTCCACTAATATTGTTGCCCGTGATCTGGGACTTTCGCAATGGAGAGTGTGGTTTACAGTGCATACTGCTGGCCTATACCCGTACCATTACACGCCGGTACACGTTATTGAAGAAGGAGACCCCGCGAGAAGATTGGACTTTTGCAGATTTAAGCTAAATGCTGACGTAGAAGACCCAGATTTTCTAAGAAATATCTTGTGGACGGATGAGTCCAAATTTGATAAAGATGGCATAACTAACTATCACAACGCCCATTACTGGGCCCCAAAAGAACTAAGGAATCCCAATAAGAAAAGAGTGAAGGGGTCCCAACGAAGATTCAGCGTGAATGTGTGGATGGGCATTATCTCCAATCATTTGATTGGACCTTACTTTCTCCCGGATAATCTAAATGGGGAAAGCTACGAAAATTTCCTGAGAGCAGACTTGAGTGATTTGCTGGATGATCTGCCACTCAACCTGATCAGGGACATGTGGTTCCAACACGATGGCTGCCCTGCCCATTTCAGGAGAAGTGTCAGAGACTGGCTGGATACAAATTATCCAAACAAATGGATAGGACGAGGTGGGCCGTTGCCATGGCCAGCAAGAAGTCCGGACCTAACCCCCATGGATTTTCATGTGTGGGGGTGCATGAAAAGTCTTGTGTACAGCGAGCCGAATCCAGTTTCGTCTGTGGAAGACCTACGAGAAAGGATTGTGGATGCAGCAAATAAAATGAGGACCACGTTGACCACTGGAGTAGTGAAGACTGGTCTCCGTAGAAGGATGCGACAATGTATCAGAAATAGAGGCGGCCATGTTGAACATGAACTGTAGAATAAGAAAAAGTTGTGTGAAAACCTTTAATAAATGACATTTCATGCTTAACTATTGTTTTATTTTACTTTTTTGGGCTAAGTATAAATTTTCTTCGCCACTGTCGCCTATGAAACTAAAGTTTTTTCAATGCATTTGAATATAACCTTAGATTATTATACCTCGTTAGATAGCTGATGAAACGTAGATATTTTAAAAAACATCTGCCGAACAATTACCATAATATTGTTTTTAGATATCCGTTAGAGAAAAATAATTTTCTAATATTTTTTTTTATTTCTTTACTTTCACTTGTCTACTACGATCTATTCAATTAACTTATGAACTATTTTAATGACTGACGTCCTAAAGCATCTTATTACACATGTAAAAATGCAAAAATTATAATAATAAAATACACAAAATAAACAAAAATAAATGTAGTAGCCTAAAAATCAGCAAATTTCAATAAAAAAATTAAAAGACGATTATCTCGAAAAGGGTTAAGTTTAGGGTAGGGTGTTTCATAGTGAAATATGTCAGAAATGATGGGTACTCCACGCCCTTAACGGATCTAGCACGACTTTTCTTGTAACCCTGTATAATAGTAAAGTTGTATGAGTAAAAGCTATCTGTTGTATTCCGATTTAAAGAAAAATAGTGCTAGGTATACTCGATAAAAAGTTTGGTTTTTTTCTTTGCTAAGTTTCTGATGCTATGTCTATGACCAAATCCCAGTTGTGCGTTAACACAGATGAAATCGCAGTGACTAAAACCAATCATTTCATCATAGAATTACGATTTAAAAGTAGTAATAATTTACATCATTAGTATCTAGAGTACAAATGCAATAAGGTTTAGATTGCTAATGGCCCAAACTGTAATCACAGAAGATTCAAAAAATCTTGTATCATATTCATTTGCAAACTTCCAGTTCCGTTTATACAGTGTTTTTTTCATTTTATGGCACTAATCTTAAAGACATTAAGAAATATTAAACTATTTTTACAATTACAATATTTTCCTAGCATCTTAAATTTTATAATTAGGACTTGTTTTGATTTACGCTTAACGCTTAAAAAAGAACCTACCTTTTAAAATTTTCGGTAGATATCGTCACAATTATCGTTATCATTGACGTTTGTAATACCTTTTAAAAGTTAAATTATATATCAGTAAATTAACAAAACAAAAATTAAAAAAAGTGTGTGTCAGCTCCGACGCACTACTGGAGTTTACTCCATAAGAACGGGGTCCTTCGATCACTAGATTTGCCTCTTAAATTATTTTTCATACCGTCCCACCATATTTGAAAATCGATTCTTAAGGAGTAAACTCAAAAAAAAATTGTTGTCTCCACTATACAACATGTCTGTTGCAAATCCGTCAAAATCAGCCTTGTGTAACAATTCATACAAACAAAACTGTTTAATCCGTTAAATAAATGCGCTTGTGACATCATTATATTCTTTAAACTCTTTGTTCGAAGCACCTCTGTGATAACTAGACCATCTGAACGGGACCAGGCGTTGCTACATTCGTGAGATAATATCAAGCGGTTGACGTTTTGTAATCTATTGAAAGCTCGGTGCTCTTGCGCAGCTGATGTGGTCAAGCGACAACCGTGTACAATGGCATTTGTTAATTTTTATCTAACTCTAAAAAAAGATGAAGGTTCTTCATTCGGCTGTTTGTTTTTACGTTTGTGATTTCAGAACGCCGCCATTTACAAAAAGTGATTAGCAAATTTTTGTTTTTATTTAAAAAAGGTAAAGTACCCGTTAGGTCCCTATCAATTCATTGGTATTATTCACAATCAACCTAATTATATTTCAGTAAAGTCCGAAGCCGTAGTCACTTTAACTTCAAATGTATTTAAAATTTACTATTATCTAATAATTCCAGTAAAAGCGGGAACACATCCAGCGCGTAGATGGGCATGGTGCGGTACTGCCGGGTTACTAGCCGCCTCACTAGTATCCGCGGGAGGTGCTTGCATACTGGCAGCGCTTGGTTCTGCGGCGAGAGCAAGATGCTCGCCTCGACCTTTACTCGTCAGCAATTCTTTATCTGGTATGTAGTTTTCAGTACAATAAACTTGGCTGGGCTATTTGGTGATCAGCAGTGCCCGGTGCAGTGTCGAGCGCCGTGTAGTTTTAGTCGGTTCGATTCCGACACACCCTGCCACAGGGGTTGTGGGGTGACGGCCCGAGGGGGTTGCCAGACTTAAAAAATGGCTATATGGTGTTTCTATTATCTATAAATATGTATAAAATTACTCACCATGACTGATTGACTGGTGAAAAAGTTCGTCATTTTAAAGTAACCAGACTGCTGATAAAAATATTTATAATAGCAGCCAGGTTCAGTAACCAGTAGACTAAGAAGCATTTTCTTCTATATTTCAGTTCTGTTCAGCCTGGGTGCAATAGCGGTATGGCTAACAGAATACTTTCTAAGACTGCAGTACAATGTGATGTCAGATGAAGATCTAGCGATGACCTGGTCTTCTGACGGCACTGCCGACCTAGGACTTTCTTTTTGGTGAGTATTTGGGATTGTATAACACAAAAGACTGTCTATAATTGTCTTCTTATGAACATTACACATACAGTCGATGAAGCTTCGTGATGTCAGAATAAGGTGTCAAATCGCGATCACATGTTGAACAAAAACAAGTAGCGCTATGCTTTATTTTTGCTAAATTGTCTAAGATTCTCATGAATGTCCTTCGCCCATTACGAGTGGCGAAGGGGTCTGTCGGATTCTTACCCACTAATAACCACCCCGGCCGGGGGAGCGAGAACCGCAATTGCATTCTTCCGCCACCTCGCATTGACCCGTCTCACCCAAAACGGGTCTCGTCACCCGTTGCGAGACTGCTACCCTTCGGCAGTCCAAAAGCTCACAAGGAACACTCTACGCTGCCTCTTGTGCCAGCTCCAAAATTCATAAAACAACAGAAGAGTTCCTGAAAAATCTATTTTGAAGATGACAGCTAACATCCACATTGGCTTATCACCTTTTTTATTTTAATTTATTTTATTCAATGCTTTATGCACATAAAAATGTACAAAGGTGGACCTAATGCCATAGGCATTCTCTGCCAGTTAACCTTGGGGTGGTGTAGAAATAACTCATTAGGTGCATTAAACCTGAACACATAAGTTCCAAAGTAAATATAACGAGACATAACTAAGAAAAATACGAAAAGATAAGCGAAAAAATGGGGATAGAAAATAGGATGAATATATATTCATATCCATTAAAACTTTCTTACATACATACATACCTACAAAGATACTAGAAAAAACATTTTTGCCTAAATCCCTTCGAAAACCGACATGCTGTCTCGGGTGCCAGTAGCTGGGGCCCAAGTTTAACCTAGAAAGAAATCCCTAGTACCCCGACGGACCCTGGGCCTGATCACAGGCCTGCGTTTATCGAGGACGGAGGTCGTTCATAACGACCGCAAAATAAAAATATACATTTGTGGAAGAACGGAGGAACTCCGACCAGGCGAGGTGATCATCACCTTGGTCTATGTTTCATAGTATATGGAAGTCGCCACTTCGAAACTCGGCCAATAGTATATACTTTCACATGACTTAATATATTTATTTAATTCCAGGCTGGTAGTGGCAGCAAGTATCGCCGCGTTCGTCAACAACGTTTGTATTCTCATCGCTATGTCGGACGGGCGGGACGTCGACACAATAGCGCCTGCACTAGAAGAGAAAGTGAATGGAGCTATCATGCTTTATTAACAAACAATAATTATTGGAGGTCTTGAGAATTCTTATGATATCTTCTTCGTACCTGGGAACAGTTTAAAAGTAAAAAAGGAGAACGAAATAGTATGAAAAATAATGGTGATTTTTGTACGAGTATGGGACTGCCCTCTTGGTCTAGTGGTTAGTGACCTTGATTGCTAAGCCGGAGGTCGTAGATTCGATTCCCACCCAGGATAAATAATTGTGTGATGAGATCATTTATTCCATGTCTGTGTGTAATTTATCTAAAATATGAATGAATTTGGAAATATGTATATAAGTATGTTCATCAGCAGTCTGGTTACTTTAGTACAGGCTCTGCCTAGTTTGGGATCAGACTGCCCTGTGTAATATAATGTGTGAAAAATAAGAAAGTGGCTTATACAGATGGATTAGAGTGTTAGCAGCTAATATTTATTTTTTGTTGAATCCATTTCTATTTCATTCAGTATGACACAGTCCTGTCGTATGAATAAATTTAAGTAGCAAGAAGGCTGAATGTTAGATCTAAGCTAATGAATATCTAGTTACTAACGATTCCGTCCATTTTTTGATATTCTATTATTAATATAAGAAAATAATGATTCATGCTTTTTGTACAATATGTGTAGAATAAGTGGGCCCTATACTTAATGCTCACCTGTTAATATTTTCCTTTATATTTTTAATTCAATACCTCATAATGACAATATATTTGTATTTATAAGTAATTTTATACATTTTAACTTGAGCGGTGTTTATGATTTATGTCTACCGTGGTCGCAAATTTCTCGACGCAGAAATTTCATGTGTGGTTTGCGGCCTCAGTTACGTATTTATCCGTACTACATCCAAATGTTTCAGTATAGTAATAAGTTTTAGTGTGATTACTTTATAATAATTATTTCTTAGAAAAATAACTTCTACAGGATTGATGTATTTTTTAATAAGCGCGGTAAGAAGACTTATTCATGATTGAACGTTATTTTATGTTTTAAATGCATTTTAAAAACTGAAAATGCAAGCTTTATCCTCTTAGGCTGAAATGTTCAAAAATACACAATCGTAAGTGAAATTCTAAGTGTGTGAGCATCAACAGCCTTTTATAGTCCACTTCTAAAAATAGGCCTCTCTTTAAAAAAGGATGTTTTGGCCTTCTATACCACGCTGGTTGGTATAGGCTCTGTTTCAGGTTTTCCTTCTCTTTGCAGCGCTGTTATCCTGCATAGTTTGCTCTTTTAGTTGGCTCTAACGACACCCATGGTGGTGACACTCTATATTCTTAATCCGTCACTGCACAGGGCGAATATACTTGTTTAAAATAAATTGTTTTGTCTGAATCATTAGGTACATGTAATATCTTAAAGTACAGCCTGAATTGTCCCACATTATCAATTTAATATTTTCATTGTTTGAATATTTTAAAATCAACATTAAATATAAATGATTTGACAATAATCAGGTATGATAACACACAAAAATGTACCGCGTCTATCGTTTTAACCTTTTAATAAAAATTGATTTCACTTGTCAGTCATCTGATTGACAAGCCATTAAAGATCGAGATAAAATTTGAAACAGTTTTTTGTAACAATATTTTTAACATAATGTTGAGCTATTTCTTGTCTCACCTGAAACTGTCAACAAATTTTAAACATTAATTTGCAAGTTCACGAATCCACAAGCTTATTGAGTGACTTACGCCGTGTTAGTTTTATTTGTTAGCCTCCTGTGTGTTCCATTAGTAAAATTATATATAAGTTAGTTTCATATATTTATTGATAAGTAATATATTTGAAATCACTGATTAAAATTGTAACATCAGTGCACCTACCTTACAAGACTTCTACACCACCCAAAAGTTGGCTGGTAGAGAATGCCCATGGCATTTAGTTCACCAATTTACAGAGGTGCATAAAGATGTACAATAAATAAAAGTAGCGGAGTACTACTCTTCTATTCTGTAAAGTTTTTTCTAAAACAAATAATTCTTTTTATTTATTTATACTTCATTATAAGTTTCAGTTACCTTTCATTACAAGTCACCGACAATGACGGTGCATGTCTTAGCGACTTCTTTTTTGTCTTTTATTACCTATCATTAAAATCACATATTAATTTGTTAACGTTTTTTATGCTTCTTCTGAAGCTTTCAACTTGAAACAGAATGAGAAGAACTCTCAAAAAACTCAGTCAGACCTATTCCATATTTGTTTATAATCTGTTAAAACCGTCATTCCAAGAAAATGAAACAATTAATCACCAAATAACGTTCAAATATGGTATATAGTGGTGATGGGGATTATAATTATTATCCATCCAAAGGTTAAAGTATATCAGCACATTGTATTTTTAATATTAGTTTGTGCCATTAGGTTAAAACACCTTTATGTATTAATTCCATATATATCAATAGGTATAATAACTTTGTATTATTATTTTATTAATAAATAATGATTGATTTGTTATATTGGTTTTATTTTTCGATTTACATATGACTACCGAATGTTTTACACTAGAATAGTGTTATGGTATAATAAACAAACAAAAACTCAATTCTGCTAATTTAATATTGTATTAATAGACTGCCGATGGACTGTCGTCAGAATGGTTTTGTTCTCCCGATGATTTGTCAGTAATTTTAGTGACAAGTCATCGGGAGACCATTTCATTCATTTCATCACATGTCGTCGATGTCTTTGTAATAGTTTGGTAAATGGTAGATTTTAATATTTTAAGAATATTATATATTTAATTTGTCAGATATGGCAACGTTGTGGGCAACATATGGCAACATTATGTTAGTAGAATACCAATATTTTGACCGATGTCAATGGCATCTCAATAGCGTGTCAATGAAATGACAGTGGCTTGTACGTTAACATAAAATACCAGAATTAAGGCCCTGACGACTCACATCATTCACTTCAAAGACTTGCAACTTAAGAGACATAAGTGCGTTGACGCTCTTTGAGCCTCCCCCCTCTGCAGATTTTGAGGCGAATGGTAGGAGCCTCTGGTAATTTCGTTCTGTCACTGATGTTTACTTCAGGGCATGGGTCTACTCGTTCCTTTTACATTAATTCCCATCGGTGGCAGATCCAAGCCCTTCCTTCTGGAACTCGTGCATTCTGGTCTCTGAACATTACATCACAGAAAATCTGTAGCCAATCCTTTCCACCCCTGCAGATAAGAGATAATTCGTTGGCCTTAGATGCCAAGGAGAAAGCCGATCTCCTAGGCAAACACTGCATCTCTGGATGCCGTAAAGCAGTCTTTTCCGCCTACATTCATAGGTCGTGTGGGCCCGATGGAATCTCTTCTATCGTATTGAAGACGTTGCTCCGTAGTTGGCACCGGTTTCTACGCGCCTTTTTCGACTCTCCTACTCCCAAGGCGTCGTCCCGAACTTCTGGAAGGTAGCGTTTGTGCACCCGATCCCTAAAAAAGGTGACCGCTCTGACCCGTCCAACTACAGGCCTATATTCATAACTCCTTTGTTCTCTAAGATTATGGAATCCATAATCAACTGCCAGCTCCTTCGGTACTTAGATGATCACCAGCTACTCAATGACCGACAATATGGTTTTCGCCGGGGTCGCTCAGCTGGTGATCTCGTCTTTCTAACACACCGGTGGGCACAGGCGATCGAGACCAAGGGAGAGGCTTGTGCGGTTAGTTTGGTCTGGCATAGGCGCTTCACTCCGAGCTGCCTTCCTTTGGGCTTGCCGAGAAATTGTGTAATTGGGTCACCAGTTTTCTTGCGGACAGAAGCATTAAGGTCGTTGTCGACGGTGCATGCTCCGACCTGAAATTCGTAAAGGCTGGTGTCACACAAGGCTGTGTGCTATCACCCACACTGTTTCTTCTGCATATCAATGACATGTTGAAAACTAGTAGCATCCATTGGTATGCAGATGATAGCACGGGAGATGCCCTTTACAATATTTCTCGGGAAAACGTCATCGAGAGTCGAAACAAACTTGTGTCTGAAATTGAAACTTTCTTACCGGAGGCTTCTCATTGGGCCGACTAAATCTAGTCCAGTTCAACCCAAAAAAGACTCAGGGCTGTGCGTTCACCGCAAAGAAGATACCCTTTGTCGTATCACCTCGGTTTCAGAGCACCTCCCTAACTGCTTTAGCCAGCATAGTAATCCTAGGCATCGACATATCGAGCGAAGTTCAGTTTCGGGGTCACTTAGAGGGTAAGGTCAAATTGGCCTCAAAGAACCTCAGTGTGCTGAACAAATCGAGGCAGTATTGCACTCCGGCTCACCGCCTTCAGCTCTATAAGGAGCAAGTCCAGCCGCATATGGAATACTGTTCTCGTCTCTATGCAGGGACACCTCAGTACCAGCTTCTCCCTCTGGACCGCATCCAACGAAGATCGACTCGAATAGTCGATAGTCCAAACATCTCCGATCGGCTCGATCCCTTGGAGTTACTGTGAGATGTGGCTTCACTCTGCATTCGCTATATCTTATTTAAACCTTTATGTATCATGGAGAGTGCCCATAGGAATTGTTCGGACTAATACCAGCCGCAACTTTCCGCCATCGTTCCACACGGAAAAATTTTCATCATCATCACCTGGATAGTTGGCGTTCCACTACTGTGTGCTTTTCGAGACACTTTTTGCCCCGCACAACCAATCTGTGGAACGGGTTATCGTCTGCGGTATTTACGGACCAATACGATCTTTAAACCTTCAAGAAAAGATCGTACTCCTTCCTAAAAGGCTGGCAAGACGTTTGTGACTCCTGAGTTGCAGACATTCATAGGCGGCGATGGTCACTTTCCATCAGGTGACCCGTCTGCTCGTCTGCCCCCTCTAACACAAAAAAAAAATTCCCCACTCAGGGCGAGTTTGTGAGTAAGCCGAAGCATGGTTTTCTACGTTTATAATTTACGTGGGTACCTATGTGTTAAAAAGGTATACAATTTTTGACGGGCCTGTTGGTCTAGTGGTCAGTGACCTTAACTGAGAAGCCGGAGGTCATAGGTTGGATTCCC